GATCCTGTTGTAATTTACAAAATCGATTTTTTATTATCTGCAAACTATCTTCAGCTTGAGCTAGTCTATTTGTGCTATTATAATTTCTGGTGTTATTGTAGTATTTTATAACATAATAAACAAGAATCGAAAAATTAGTCTTTTGTATATAAGTGAACCTACTATTATTATAGACCCTAATGAGGAATTGCAAATTGTTCTTTGTATAATCTACTATAATATGCCTGGCTTTTATTCCAATTCTAGAAAAATACGAAAAATATATATAAAAGAAGGATATACTCATTTTCGACTTAAAGATATTACAAACTGGTTAGAGAATTAGTATGATTACCAAATATATCGACACCCACCAAAAATTAAGGCCCAGGCTAGCTTTTCTAATTGCCGAATTCCTAATAAATTACATCAATGTGACCTACTCCTCTATGTCCATGATGATCAGAAAAGAGAAAAAATATATTTACACACTTTGGTGCTGATAGACGTGGCAACTAGATATAAATATGCAGTAGCATTAACATCAAAGACTAGCTCAGAGGTTTGGAATGCAATTGAAAAAATATACAATGATCCCAAAAATCCTCTCAAGTAGCCGGTGTTGTTGATGGTTGATGGTGTCGGTGAGTTTAAAAGATTATTTGCGAAAGGAATGGAGCGATATAATGTTCCTATAAGAGTTGTCGATCTTTATAGCTTTGAGAGCTTAGCATTAGTTAAAAAATTCAAACAAGATTTGATGAGACTTATATACAAAATTCAATATGCCATAGAGGGAAAACTCAAAGAAGGTGAACGCTCAAAATTATGGAACAAGATACTTCAGAAAATTATCGGCTATATGAATAATAATAAAACTCGATTAATAGGCATATCACCATCATATGCAATATCATTAGAAGAAGTAATACCTAAAGTATTTACCAAACCTAAAAGACCTATTGGAAAGGATGAACCACGATTACAGAAGGGGCTTACAGTAAAATATCTATTAAAACCCGGTGAGCTAGAAGGAGGGCATATGCATAGAAAAACTGACCCATGGTGGTCATTGCGTATCTATAAAATCAAAAAAGTTATTGTTGGTAAAAATCCACTACAGCCAGTCTTATACTATCTTGAGGATGAGCCAATTGATTCAACTAAACATTTAATAGGTTGTAACCCCAAAAGACCTTTTAAGAGAGAGGAGCTCCAAGAAATCGAGAATCCTGAAAAGGTTGAGTACCTACCTGATGAGTTTATACAAAAATATCACCTCTCTGGATCGATACATTTCATTCGTGTTTCTAATAATGAATTTGACAAGGCGCAACGATATGCTGGAAGACGTGGTGGAAGTATCTTAGCTAAAACTGGGCAAATAAATAATCAGAATGTATTCCTCTGGACTTGTGAAAATGGACTGCATCAGTTTGAGTACCCGTTTCCATTGATTGCAACGAAATTTGAGTGGTGTCCACTTTGTTTTCACAATAAGAATGAGCGATGCTGTAGATACATTTTTGAGGATTTATTAGATAAGAAGTTCCCACCATGTTCGGATAAATTTTTAGGTGGACTCAGACTTGATGGGTATAACGAGGAATTGCGCCTGGCATGGGAGCATCAAGGAGTACAACACTATCATCAGAATGCAATGTTCCACAAGCGAGGTCAAATTGATTTGGATAAGCAAAAGACACGCGACAAAAAAAGCGGAAGATATGCAAGAAGCAAGATATAGATCTGATTGAAATACCATTCAACTCGGATTTATATGCATTTATAAAAAGTGAATTGTAAGAGAGAGGTTATTTATCGCATAAAGAATAAACATATAAGTATTACTTAGATTAATCAGGATGGAAGAAGAAAAAATGCCCATATTTGTATACAATATCGATGAGACATCTAACAAATCCTCAGAATGAATAAAAGGTAATAAGTATTCACCAGATGCCCCATTCAGATTACTGGTATATAGAGGCTCCCATAGCAGAAAAACTAACATGGTTATAAATCTTATACTTGGTAACAAACTACAACGTATATTCAAGGGGAAAAAAGATCAGTAGTATATTAGAAATGATGACCTTATATTAATAGACAAGTATTTTGAGCCTAAATGGCAACTTGTACAAAATAGCTATCAGATCTTTGCAAATAGCCCAAAACTATATCGAGAGGATGTTATATTCAAAAGGTTATCTTCAGATAAAATTCCAGATATAACTAAATTCACACCAAAACGAAGTATAGTTGTTGTATTTGAGGATTTATGTGCTGAGCCAAAGAAAGTACAAGAACGAATTATTCTATACTTCATTAGTGGCCGGCATCAAAATATCTCACCCATATATGTGAGCCAAAAATATACACAAACTCCTAAAATTATCTGTGAAAATCTGAGCCATCTTGCATTATTTAACAATAGGGGGTCCTGAGACGATATTTATAGAATTGTGCAACAATATACAGATAATCTGAAAAAAGTATCCAAAATTATTGATAAACATTTGCAGGATCAAGATTTCGTAATCTTTAACTTTACTAAGGCAGTTGATGATTCTCTCACAATTAGATTGGGTTGGGACACACCATTGAAATTAGATAAATAGAATAAGGCTTGACAATTAATAATTATTTTTCTGCTATAATTTTGTCATATTAATATAAACACATCCTACTCGCCACTTTTTATATTATTGAAAAGATGCATGTCTCCAGCTGGTGTTGAAATTGAGATAGGTGTAAAAAAAATAAACTCGCCATATTTTTGAAAAAGTGTATTCTATATATTATCTACAATAGGAGATTTTTGTGTTCCGTAAAATAGGCTCATATGCAAAACTTTAAATATATATTATACTGTTAATTCCAAAAGACGTTTCTGAAATCTATTCTGTAATTGGTTTTTCTTTCTACCTATCCAATCATACGGAATATAGTATTCTTCATATTTATTATTAATAAAATAGCTGACTATATTAAAGTTACATCTCCTATATATTGCAATTTTCTCAGCATTCCACAGATTGAACTGATCTCGAGTTTGAGGATTTTTTACTTTACGAAAAGTTAGGCTTAGAAATTTCTCATCATCTGGAATATTATCATTTGGTAAACTTAACCAGGCAAGTCATGCATTTGATGGCTCCCTTTCTTTGAATCGTCTCCAAGTATTTTGAATAATTCGTGCATAACTATCTTGAGATTTAGGTTTATTACATTCATGATCCCAATGATATTTCATCAAATCTGCTGGTTCAATCTTTTCAATATATCTATAAAAAGTGGAAGCATATATTTTCTTTGGTTTTACATTATTAACATGAATAAACTTTATACAATCTAGACATATCGTCACATTGGCCTTATGGATTCTAGGTCTATAGTAGTCATGATTGACTAGCTTAGAATTTCCAAATACACCAAATAAACTATGTACGTGATATACACTTCTTTTCTTTTCAGAGACCAGATCTTGTAAAGGAACTCTGACCCGAATAGCCTATTGCTATGGAGTTTTATTTGGTTGAATAACTGATAAAGTATCATACTGTCTTTCAGTCTCAAAGAGTTCTTCAAAGAATCATTGATAATCATTAATGCCACAATATTTGTAGATATATGACTCTACATATTTCATATCATATCCAGAGCGATTATTAATAAGTTTTTGCGATTTAACTTTTTTATCAATAATAGTAGGGATAACAAGACCCAACATATTTGATGATTTAATAGACTTATAGTGCATTTAATGATTATACAAGTCTTATAAACCTATTAGATTTTATTAACTATATACTAATGAATATAGCAATTTATTTTTTGAGCATTCGAAATATACCCATATTAGAGTCTCAGTAATATATAAGCTTCTTACTTGAAAAGATTCAAAGACATTTCACTCGTGCCAGTCGTTATAGTTGATTAAAAGTGTGGAATAAATTATAGCCATGAGAAAAAATAAGTATATATCAAGATTAGAATTATATTTTATATGAACTGATTAAGTTCTCTTGCTTATTTTTTGCAGACCGAACAAACTACCCAAACCAAAGTACTAAGCCACCTAACAGTGATTATGCGCTTTCTACAACACAACATACAAAGCCAGAGGCCCTATCACCAGAAGTTAAAAACTTATAGCGAAATTTTTTGTATAACTATATATACTCGTAACAAGTAATCTGGATAGCTGATCTATTAACACAAAGCGATTCAACACAAATTAACAAATTTGAAATACAATACATACCCAGTTCAGGTCAAATATAACTTTACTCATCAATGGCAGTATGGTAAGGTTAAATTTTGGTTATAATTTTATTTTTTGGTAGATATATTCAATTACTCTCTGTGGTGTGGTTCGGTTGTTTAGGAAGTTTGCATCACCTTCCTCCTTATACACACCCCACATTGAGGATAACGATTGTGCCTAAGATAAAGAAAAATAGCATATTTATATAAGTTTCGAGGTGGATACATTCGAACTATTTCTTATCTCGTAGCTCAGTGGACTAAACCGTGGAAAGCTCATTGGGTCTTCCTCTCCTCGCTACATAGACAATAATAGTCCAACAATCGCACCCTCTATGATAGTGTTTTTATAAATGTAAAAAGAAAAATAAATTTTAGGGAGGAAACAGTCAGATCCTAAGCCTACCTTGAAAAGTTATAACTGCACCAAAAAGACTATATTATTAATGGATAGCTAGATAGCTTATTTTGCGGAACAAACGAGCACTTTTGCCAAAGTACTGGGCTACCAAATAGTAATTATGAGCATGTTCGATCTCACAACACTAGGGTTCTGCAATTTGATTTGATTTGATTCAATCAAATATTTGATCTCAAATCAAATTCAAATACAGAAATTTCAAATTAAATCAAATTCAAATTGACAAAATATTTGATTCGATTTGAAAATATTTAGTAAAAATTACAAATAAATTTGATTTGATTTGAATTTGATTTGATCAAATCAAATTCAAATCAAGAGCTTATTTGATTTGATTAAATTCAAATATGTAAATATTTGATTTGATTCGACTTTGAGGAACCCTACACAACACATATAGTCAGAGGCCCTATTGCTCAACATTAGAGACGAAATTTTTTGCTTGACTAAGCATACTTGCACAAATAGCTCTAGCAACTGTCTTATCAACACAAAAACTATTTAGTGTAGAAAAGTGTAATGTAATATCGGTTAAAAATTTCAGATAAAAAATAAAAAAAAGATTTTATATACGTACTTAGTTGAGCCTCATGCATGTAGAGCACAAGGAATGTTTCAAGTTGGTTATTGTTATGTGGCCTGTTGGTTATAAATATCCTTTTCTAGACAATAGTATGTTTTCAGGGGATGGTTAGTATAAATATTTGTATTAAAAATAAAATTTCGATGTTCTATTAGAAGTTGGATGTTCAATCAACATACGATTTATCGTTATACTGAAGATACATAAAATTTAGAATAAGGCTTGGATATTCTAAGAATAGGTGACTTCCCGTAAACATAAAATACACATTATTTTTAGATGCAAAGCATCCTCATTCCATGAGACACAACCACGTACGTACACGTATATTTCCTGACTACGTGTTGAATAGCATCCACAGACTGTATTTACAAATATTTATACTATTTTATTTGGTCTGAAATAGCGAT